TATCTAGACAAATATAATCACATTGACATATATTATTTGTTCATTTTCATTAGAATTTAACAAAATTCTTCGAAAGATTTTATTCTTACAAATATAATAGGAAATCATCAAATAAGATTGTTAAAAGATTTTACTCTTAAATTAAATTTCCAATAATAATAATAATATGTTAGAAGGTAGAGATTTGTTTGAAAATTTATCGAAAATGACTTTATATGAAATTGAAAAGAGAGAATTATTTTTATTTGATATTTGAAAATGAGATATATTATAATCAAATATGTTTTCATCTTATTGTTTGATTTCTAAAGTAAATTGGTTAAAGAGTTTTCTCCGATATAAACAATAAATAATAGATAAATTTTAAATGATAAAAATAAAATTTTTCGAGTAAAGTAAATTTAAGTTATGATTCAATATCATTTTTAAATTTAACTTATGAATAGAAAACAAAAAAATAAAATAATATTTATTTTAAAAACAAACCTAATTGAATTTAATTTAAGAAATGAATCAATTAATTTTATTCTTTGTTGACAAATTAATATTAAACGTAAAATTGATAATTTTCTTTTATAAAAATTAGGTTGAACACGTTGAAAAACTTGTTGTCTTAAATCATCTAATAATGTTTCAACACTATATTGACAATTAATTGATGTTGTCATTAATGATAATGATGGAGATACTTTATCAAGAGAATCAAATTCTGTTTGAATAAAAAAACGAAATGATGGATTACAAAATAAACGACGACCACAATAAATTATTAAATTTGTATCTAAACAAAAAAAAAAAAAAAAAAAAGAAAATAGTTGATTAATTTCTCAATGAAAATCTTTGATATTTATTTGTTTAGTGACGGATTTGAAGGTGAACAAGTTGTTCTAACATCAGTTGCATTAGAAAGAAAATATTTGTTAGGTGAAGTTATTGAACAATCTTATGAATTATTGGATTCAATCGAAGTTTATGTTGATTATTTTTTTCCTTATGCTCAACA